GCGGCATTTCCGCTTTGAAAGTATTATGCTCGGGAAAAAGATGGGCTCACCGGAACGGGTTTAGTTAGGTGCTGACGTTTCGGAAAGCTTAGCGGATTTGCCATCGTCAAAGTGCAAAGTCGAGCAGAAGATTCAAATGACATGTCACTCTGGTAGGCCTCAATATAATTTATTTCCCTCTTCTATCGCCGCCTTGGTCCTCAGGGGATGGTTGGCGGGCGTTTTATCCGTGTACTTTGTGAGTCGCCGCTGCGTCGGGGAAGGGAATGGAACCTTTGTCGGGTGATCCGTCTGGCGGTTCATTTTCCTCGCCGAGTGGACTCGCCGTCGGCCTGTCTAGGTACGGCCTTCTTAAGTCCAGTGTGGTTACTTGGTCCTGATCTCTACAGACGTGATGACGTGACACTTCAAGTTGCCGGAAGGTTCAAATGCCTGTTGATGGATTTGGGATCAGATTACCACGCCTCGAGTGTTGACCTTTCGTTTCTACCAAAGAGCATTGGCTACCTACGTCAAACTTATCCGTCTATCTGGGTAGAGGTCCACTGAGAAACAACCTTTACCTGCGTGGAAGGCGAGCTTTCGAAAAAATATCAGCTCACTTGCTTTTCTTGAATAACTACAGACTGAGGATTTATTTTAAAGTAGACACTAAAACGACTGAGGAAAAAAAAGTGGTCACCGAAACGGGGGAACTATCTTTCTACCGTTTCGAAGAGCTTGGCTGGCTCTCCATCATCAAAGCATCTGAGGCAAAAATTGATCAAAGTTTTGAATAGACAACCAAATTTGTTGGCCTTGGGTCGACCGATTTTTTCTTCTTTCCGTAACTTGTTTTGCTGGTCGTCGTTAGTGTGTGATAACTGCCTCCTGTGGTGCGTGTCGTCACTTCTGTTGAGGTTAGTTGCCCCCCTTCTGTGTGAATTGATCGACAAGCGGTGTTTACTCGCTATTTTTAAGCTCTGTATGACTGTCCTGTCATAGTTGCCCACTGAAATCCCAACAGTTGTTTACTAAATACGTTTTAACGATGGAGACTGCAACTATGTTGGGGAAACCTGACGGAAATGGCAGACCCGTCAACATGAGCACAACATGGCAACTCGGAGACTGGAACCAAATCAACAGCTTGCGACTCGCATAGGAGAAATTAGTCACAGTTTTGACTTTTAAGGAGCAGGGCCGCGGCACCTCAAGGACAGATCGTATCACACCTGAAGTTTGATACTCAAGTGCCAACTCTATCAGCAGGCATTTAGACCTTTCTGCGAACTTTAAAGTCTACGTCATTATACATGCCATGACTAGGACAAGACCGTCATACGGAACTTAAGAATATCGAGCAAACATGGCCCGTCGATTAGCTCACAGAAAATGCGGGCACAAGCACAACTAGCCCCTATTGGAGTGACGACACACAACACAGGAGGCCACTATCACTCAAAAACGACGGCTAGTAGACCAAGTTGGCGAATGAAGATAAAAAATCCATCAGTTCAATGCCTACTAATTTATCTGTTCAGAAGAGACAGTGGCGAGTGAACGTTCCTTTCGGTAAATTCTCATCAGGTTAACACAGCTACATAGCACGGGGTACAGCGAGTGAAACAAAAATCGAAAAAATACAGTTATTTAAAAAGACAGGCAAGGCAAGAGCGGAAGGGCGCTGAAAGTTGTATGTGGTTAGTTAACCTTTGACCACGGTAAGCGCGGTAAGCTGTCTTTTCAAAGTTTTACCGATTTTTGCACTAAACGCTTTGATAATGGAGAGCCAGAGAAGCTGAGATTAAAACGACTACCAAGAAAGAGACTGCACATCGGAAAAAAAGTGTGCTTGCTTCAAATTACTCTTGAATGTGTCAGTATAGACAACAACGGAAAGCGTTGCCGCACGCATAGTGAATGCAGTTTCAATGCAACCATACAACTACTTAAACCGCCGGTTCCTTACGTCTACAGCAGACGCTAGTACTTAATGCGACCACCGTTACATTCCTGTAAGTGAACTGATTTCCTCTGCACCACTTTTGGGAATTGCTTCGAATTTTGGTTAACTATTTATGCCAAAGGGAGCGTGGGAGTAATTGTTTGCATCGGAACAAACTTAGCGTCAGCTAAAGAGGCAGAGCTTAGTGGATTGCGGAGAGAAGAACAACCTATGCATTTTTGCAATTCAAACCGTTTTGTTGCACGGAACGTCTTCCTGCCTCGTTGGCGAGCTCAAATTCGGACGAATTTAGCGCAAACAAATGTACTTTGCCATTTAGCTAGGGCGTTAGAGGAGTGGCAGTTTATTGTCAATACATTTGTCAGCCAATCAACGAGGCAATCTGAGAACGCGCATAGTCATTAAACTGTTGTTTGCATTTGACAGAGAAAACTGCCTCCTCTTGGCAAACTATAGTTCTACAAATAACCGCCATGTCTACAGGAATCATTTGGGTGTTGTAGACGAAACAGAGTAACTAATCATTAAAGAGCTAAAAGACTAAAAGACTTTTATCTTAATCCCGAAAATCTCAAAAATTGGCCATTATAATCCGTTGGTGTATAATAAGAGTGGGAGAGAGGAAGTCGCTCTATTTTAAAATCATAAATTCACAATTTTTAGAAAAAAATTGATTCCATTCACGATGGTTTGTAAATAAGTAAATATACTATTCAAGAGTCAATGTTTAACACAAAAGAAACGGTTTTATGAGGACAGTTCAAGTTTTAGCTTTTGTATTTCTATCTATTCGCACCTAAGATAACGCGCCAGGAATGGCAATACAGAAAAGCCGATGTAATACAAAGCATAAGTCGGAAGCTGCCGCGCATCGGGCGGAAAACTTCGCAGAATTGAGATCAAAATGCAAAGGATGGACAATGTCATCTTTAATCCGACCAGCAAATTGCCTGACCGTATTGAAATGTCCTTGTAGGATAGTGTCGACTACAAAGATAATGAACACCGGCAGCAGAAGAGACTTGTGCTTGTACTTGATACGGCTACGATCACGCCTGATCTAGCCGGCCTCGATGATGTCCCGAACTGTACCTCGCCACGCATGACGGTCCGCGGTAGCAGACCTGGATAGCTCAACCCATTATGTTCGCCAACGACGTCGACCGTATACCGAAGGTCCAAGAACCACCTCCCAGCGGAAGAGACCATGCGGAGGACTCTTTTCAAAATTAAAAGATCTTTTTAAGCATGACACAAAAATGACACAAAAAGCCATACATTCACGTAATTTAATATGCCTCAGAAAAGCTTTTGGACCGATTTTTGTAAAGTTTGTAAAAGAGCATCTGTGGCGTAAACTTGCTTGCAAAGGAGTCATCAAACGGAGAGTTGAACAAGTAATTCTTGAACGACTGTAATGTAACCTGCGTTAGGTATCACCACCGGCCGAGAGGATTTCGTGCCCTTATAATTACTTTTCAAAGAATTGCCCTAATTCCTCATAAATGACGAAGTCTCTATACGATGTTGCTGCACCAGAGACGCAAGCTAGCTTACAAAACAGAGGCTGGGTCTCTGGAAACAAAAACTTTACTTGATTTGGAATTAAATTTATTCTTAAATCTATCATTGGAAACAGCGACAACGTGAGTTGTCTGGAACTCAGAGGACGGAGGTGGCTCAGGGACGTGCAACCTCTAATTTTATCAGCCCATGCATTCCCACCAGGTATGTGCATTTTGCGCGATTTCATCGCCTGCGGAATGGCTTTTTGTTCTATCAGAAGACGCTCTTGACCACCTCTTCACACACGACAGTTGGTAATACGCGGAAAATAGAGGGCTTGTAGTTTGGAAACTCTAAATGCAGGCGTAACTGCAGGTCGGGGTTGAAACTTATTCATGAAGTGGAAAAGTGTTCTTTTAAAAAAACGAATTAAACCCATTAATTGAAAAAATAATTAGAAAAAAACGTAGTTAATCTGCCTCTTAAGTAAACAATTGCGTATGTTAATGCATGTTAACCAGAAAACATAATTCAACATTTAAGGGCATCAAAAATCCGTGAGAAAAATTCATGCCACATAAGGAATCAAACTTTGCAGAGAATGTCTTTTGCATGTGGCCGGAAAGAATTTCGTTCAAAAGCCGGCATCTAGCAATCAGTGAATCAGTAAAGAATTATGCCGCATGACAATTAGTTTTAAAACCCCATTTGAGTAGACCTTTCGAAACAGAAACGTATTTCAGTATTTTGCTCAACATTTCATGAGTTTGCATGCTTCTGTATATGACCGGGTTTCAGTGAGAAGCAGCATCCGTCAGTTACGCCAGTATCACCATTGCAGTCTATGCTTAAAGAGTTTGGAGTCATGAACATGCGATATGCTGCCAATTATATTGGCTTCTCGAAATTAGCGTTGTGGCAGTTCGTAATTTTCCTCCTCCAACTTCCAAGCGTCAGTTACAGCGATTCCTCGGCATGGTCAATTTTTAACGTCGGTTCCTACCGAACTCTGCTGACCTCATGCTGCCGCTCACCAACATGTTTCTGGTCCCAAAGGTCCCCTTGAGCTGACTGATGAAGCACTGACTGTTTTTGAGAGGATCAAGAATTCCCTTGCATTCAGCTCCTGAAGCTCAGCTGTCTCTGATGGAAGATGCTTCGACCGTAGCCGTAGGTGCAGTCCTCCAACAACACCTTGCGGGTTCGACTCGACCACTTGCCTTTTTCTCCAAAACTCTTACCAGCTGAGACACGCTACAGTACATTTGGCCGTGAACTACTTGTCATTTACCTGGCTGTGAAGCATTAACGGCATTTCCTTGAAGGTCGTGACTTCACTGTTTTCAATGACCACAAACCTTTGACTTTTGCACTTCGTTCCCACTCCGACAAATACAGTCCGAGAGAAATAGCTCACCTGGAATACATCTCCCAATCCACCACCGACATCGGCCACATTGATGGCACGAATAATGAGGTGTCTGATATGCTGTCCAGACCCTTACTGTCTTCCCTCCAACTCTCACACGGGATCGATCTTTTTGCCATGGCGGCTGAGCAACAGCGAGTCGGTTGTCTTGGTGGCGAGTCTGTGACTGGTCTCCCTCTCAAAGACGTTCCTCTGACCACCGGCTCTGTTACCATACTTTGTGACTTCTCAACTCCCTTTCATCGCCCTTTTGTGCCCGCCTCGATGAGTCGAGCTGTAGTTCAAACTCTGCATAGACATTCCCACCCTGGGATCGGAGCCTCTCAAAAGCTTCTTGCGGAAAGGTTTGTCTGGCCTGCCATAAACAAGGACGTCAAAGCTTGGCCTCGGTCGTGTATGAGCTACCAGCGCAACAAGGTGCAGCGTCAAAACAAGTCCCCACCAGGTACTTTCCCCAGTTCCGACGCACGGTTCAGCCATGTGCACCTGTATGTCGTAGGCCCCTTGCCTCCATCCAATGGTTTCACCTACCTCCTTACCTGTGTCGATCGATATACTCGCTGGGTTGAAGCTAGTCCTTTGCCGGATGTTCAGGCTGAAACCATCGTGAAGGCCTTCGTCAGTCGTTGGGTCGCCATGTTCGGTAACCCATCCACGGTTACGACTGATCGTGATGCCCAGCTAGAGTCGGCACTGTTCAAAACGCTACTCAATTTTCTTGGCTGCACACGCATTCGGACGACAGCTTACCACCTAGCTGCCAACCGTATGGTGGAACGTTTCCATCGTCAGCTAAAGACCGCCCTGCGTGCAGTAGAAGACCCAGGAAACTGGTCGGACAACCTTCCTCTTGCGCTGCTCGGCATCCGCGCAGATCTGAAGTTGGATCTGACCTGTAGCGCAACTGAATTGGTTTTCGGAACTACCCTCCGACTGCCAGGCGAGATGATCACTCCAACCTCTCGTGGCACCCACGAGACTCCTGACAATCTTGTGCACCGTTTGCGGCAATTTATGCGCTCGCTTTCCCCGGTTCCACCTCGAGCTCCAATGACTGAGTCTTATGTCGAAAAAGACTTGAACAAGTGTACTCATGTATTCGTCCAGTGTGACAGTGTGCGTCAGCCGCTGGAATCACCATACGAAGGACCGTTCCGCGTGCTCGGGCGCAGTGACAAGGAGGACGTGGTCAGTGTCGATCGGGTCAAGGCTGCTGTTGCAGAGGAGCCGCCGGACCCGAACAAAGAACAAAAATGTGCTGACCCCCTAACCCCTGTTCCTCCATCTTCCCTATCCCTGCTCATTCACCCTGCCCACTACCTCGCCCTTCCCCTTTCCGAACCTCTATCTCTCCGCGCCGTAAACTTCCTCTGTCCTCATATCCGCAACCCACAACTGCAACAACCCCTTCATCAACCAACAACACTGTCACCGCGAGCCATACTCACTCTACCCCTGTGCCTCCTGCATATATCACCCTAGTGGACGCCATGTTCATTTTCCTGACCGTTTGGTCACTCATGTTTTTTAAACATCAGCAATTCCTTCGGCATCGCTATGCGCCACCGGTCTAGCCGGGGGGTATAATGGCAGTCCGCGTCTGCTTGCCCTCCGCCTTTTTCACGCTGCCTTTCTGTCCGCCTCACACTCCTTGCGACACGCTGCTGAGACGCGCGATTGCTCGAAGCCAATCAACGCTGTCCCCACTCTGATTGGCTGGCGACGTGGAAAAAACGAAGGGCACACACACGCGCTGACAACGACTTGAAGGCGGACAAAGACAACAGCTTGCTTGGGGCGCGCTCGCGGTCACTGCCTACAGAGCCCTTATGTACGCACTTCCTCAGGCAGTAAAGGTTTTCCAACTCAAACGGTCTTCCCTGACATTTGATTGGGAATCCTTATCTTGTCGACCACACAACATTCGACAGCGTTGCAACTCAAAAGATTGGTAGTATATCCGTGTCCGCTGCAGGACAACTCTCTTTTCCGTATGCCTCCAACTCAACTTTACCAAGTTACTCTGAAGAAGTAAAATTGAACCAATGCTTTCCCGTGACCGTTTGGGCAGAGCACAGAGTAAGGTTGCTTCAAAAATTTAAAATGCTTGCTGACCGACTGATATACATGTGGTCGAATGGAAGTTTCACCAGCGTCATCGGTTTTACACAGAATTAAAAGATGCATATGTAAGCATCAAAACTGCGAATACGAATTCGAGGAACGGTCATCCACCGAGGAAATTTCAAAACAGACCGCGTTAAATCACAATAGTTGTCATGGCTCTCCGGTCCCGTGGCAATGTTCTCAATTATCTTATAGGCTACCATCAAGCAGCATGATTAAAATACACCAATAATTGCCTGGTTTGGAAGGCCACACCATCCCCGCTCTTAAATTCTAGGAGTCCGCAATCCCAAAGTAGTTGCATCCTACTCTCCAATACTGTAACTAAACGCAATTTTCCTGGGGAGAGAGACATAGAAAATTAAAGTTACACTATGGTACAAGTGTTAGTAAAGAATATTGAGCCACTGTTTTCGAGACGAACGGTATTCAAAGGCGCGCCGTCTTCAGGTATGTCTAGTGCTTCAAGGAACATACCGCCCAACAAGCAATCCTTTTCTTTTCATACTGACACTGTTAATTTGGCACATAAAAAAATCACCTGACGCAGTCCTGGAACCAGGAAGATGTGCAGTCATCAACACAACGCAATCTGAGAAAATTGCTATTCGAGATTAAAACCCGAATATTGCACCTTAAAACAATTTATTTAGGTTCCGGTCTTTTAAATAAAAGTGTGTAACATATACAACGGAAAATTTAAATAAACGCAAAAAAACTCTTAAGCCTTTTAGCTCCTCCTTTAGTTTGAAGCAAAAACCCTGATCGTTAGATAGATTGAACAACCTCTTCAAATAGATAAGCCGGTAGTGCATCCTCACGAGTTCTGTACAGTGACCAGGCCGTCTGGACAAAGCCGTCCCACTTTGTTGATGAGATTGACACTAGGTCCCACAACTTCACGTCCTCTTGCCTGAAGTCTGCAATGGCTCTCCACCAGCGTCTTTGCGAATGGACGCATTGATAAATCTGATCCACCGACTGCATCCGGAATGAGGCATCACCATGAATCGGGGACTTTGCCGAGAGGAGTTCATAGGCAAGCCTGCAAACATTGGAGCTGGCGGTACAGACGAGGAAGTCGGCCGATACCAAAAGATGCAGATCCACGAGGATGGCAAACAGCCCTGCAGTAGACCAACGATCCTCATACCTACTTCCATTTCTCTGTCGACCAAAAAATTCGTATCTCGGGTATTGGTATCTGGCCTCCTCGAAAACGGATGCATCATCAGAAGCCAATAAGACGCGTCGTCTTCGAGACCACGCTGGTGGTCTTGTACTGCCAGTTTCCAAACCAAATTCCACCTCTATCAACTCAAAGAAGCGTTCGACGTGAAACATATATTCCTCTAGTGAATATAGCTTTGCCTCAGAAAGGAGTTTATCGGTTCGACGAACATGTATGCTGGCGATAGGTCCGTCGTATGATTGGGTATCTGAAATCTGCTTCATGGCCTGTAAATCCATTTCAAGTTCACGGCGCACGGCCAGATCCTTTGGACGAAGCATGTATTCCAACAGATGGCCACGATACCACGGAAAGGGATCACCCAATGTCGTACCTAGTTTACCGGACCACTGACTTGGCATAGCAGGGGCATAATAGCGTGTGGTTATATTCGGAAGGCCGTTTTCTATGTGAGGAATGTCTGAATGTCCTTCGGTGTGATTCAGCGAGCAGTTAGAGTAGGGCAGAAAGAAGTCCTTCCAGTCATTGTGTTGCAGCAGCAGAGTACGATTAGTTGCGAAGGCAAATGAAAACTTCAGAACCATGTGGTGAGCAGAACATCCAAAACCACAGCTATAACGCAGATCTGCCAGAGCGAAGTGGGACTGACTACAGTTGGGCGGATTCTGTATCCTCGAAATTTGGTGTCGCAATTCTGAGCTCAGTGCATCCACCTTCTGACGTCTACTCTCACGCTGACCACTGAGTTTGTCGAGCAGATCCAGTCTCGCCGTGATCTGCAGTGTAGCTTGTGACAGAAGAGTGTTTAAGTGGCTTATTGATGGAGATGTCTGGTTGCGAGTGGGGAAGTGGGCATTACTCAGTCTCCAGAGTTCGTTGACGGTTGAACGAGCCTGTCTAAATAGCACATCCGGCTTTGGTGACCTTTTTTCAGTCGGAGGACGATAATCGAACATCACCGTCTCAACATTATTTCCAACACAACTCTGTAACCAGATAAAACTGAGACGCCAGGCGATGCAGACAGTCAGTGCAGTAATGCAAAGGATGAGTCCTGCTGCTTTTCTAGGCCACATGTAACTTTGAGGAGAGGAGGACTGAATGGCTGATTTCGTTTTGCTCAATGCGTTTTATTGCTTGCTGCCAGGGGATTTAAACAAATATCAGACAGAAGAGGCGTTTTTGAGTCTAGATAATCCCACCAATCATCTTGTGCGCCAAAGTCTAATGTGCGTATTTTCGTTATGAAAATCTGGTGCTGAAGAGCCTAACCGGGCATAATAGCAAAAGTTGTAAATGAGGCAGGCATGACTTGTCATGGAGTGATCTGATTCGCACGAGGCCGCTGTATCTGGGGCGCAAACTGGGAATCGACAGAAGTCACGAAGTCAGTAATTTCTGAAACCTGTGACGATATTTGAGACACGGCAGTCCTGGCTTCATTCTACTCAAAAGGCTACTGTTGTTGACGAACTAGAAAGACGGTTTAACCGATACCCGCATGAATGAGTCGAATGGACTATTTTTTCCTGGTATTTCGTAAACCATTATCCTTACAATAGTTGTCTGAGACATTTAAAATAGACCTTTATTATCCCTCTCATTGTTAACTACTTTTAAGTAATGCTACCGACCCTACAACATGATCAAAGATGGCTCCTACCCGGCAGCCATAATTGGAGGTCAAAGTAGAGGCAATTGAGTAATTTGACGTCACTGATCATGATCCAGCTTGGGTTTCCAAGAGCCACTACCACAACCTAACCTTCGTAGGAGAGCTACACTGCCTAGACTCTGGACACGCGTGTACAGTGGTAAAAGGCCTAATGAAATACTACAACACCATTCCTCGCATAAATAAAATTCCGACAATTTTACGTAAAAGGGAAGTTGATATCCTCATGTTGGTCGATTTTCCTAGCTGCGTCGGTCTTTTTAAATTTATAGAGACATCGAATGACAACGTACATGCGCACTCTAATTAAGAACCCTACTTTATATAGCGTGGTATTCACAAGCTGCCGCGAGGAAGCTTTTGAAAAACCGACACTCCGACTTGATCGGGATATTTTTGGTTTACGTTTCAGCGTAATCATGCAACCATGACTGGCTGATTACCGAGAAACCACTTTGAATTTAAAGAACATTTGCTGCATTTCTCTCCTCCTGGCAGATTTTTGAGGACAAAAAGTCAACATTTTGGGCAATTCATATCTTTTTTACCAGCATTGAACAGATACTCTCTTTTCTGCCTAATCACGAGTTAACGCTGATTGTTCAAAGGTGCATACCTAGTTTGATCACTTGTGACCTACCAAGACGGGTCCCTGTCTGTGTCAACTACACTCATGAACTCTCTATTGCATGTTACTTGTGCGGATGCCTCCGGTGACTAAAGACAGAAAATGGAGTAAGATGGCGGCCGATGGTGGCTCCTCACTGTACTAATAATGACATCTCCTGAAAAGGAGACTCGATCGCTCCGACAAGAGCTCTATTAGCCTGAGGTTTCATAATGTTGTCGTTTTATGCATCCGAAATGATTTTCGCCATTAAAGGCCATATAATCCAGATTTTTGGCTACGCGCCCATAATGCGCCGGATCACCCCTAATGCCGGCGAACGGGCGGGAACATGAAGACACGAGATCTGGATTTTGTTTGCATGATGGGTTTGTGTGTGGGTTGGAGTCGACGGGCAGATACAATATTTTTCACAACACAGGAAACATTGTTGGGTAAAAAAAACAAGAAGAGGCCTAATCTGACGTTTGCCGACGAAAAATCTAATCATCCTTGGTGAGAGATAAATTGTTTTCCACCCTAATGCCTTTTCGTGTGCTTATACACCCGAAATTCGTGCGCTGATCTATCTGCAAAGTGGTAGTAACATTAGCAGCCAAAAATAATGAAGGCACTTGCGTCGAAACTGCCAATTAATCCTCGGAGTAAACTTCCGCCAGCTTGTCCTTCAGCTTGTTGGCAGGCACGTCAATAACATGAAAAGAGATGGCAGGGGTAATATACCAAATGACAGACGTCTACTACCGTCTGGGGTGAAACATTTATAGAAAGCGTGTTTATGCCCAAATTGATTATGCATTTGGTGGAAGAATTTACGTCTTACATTCTTCGGCCGAATGTGTTTTATTATTGCGCACTCT